GGGGGGGGGGGGAGCGTGAGAACCAGTTTCATGCGGTTGTCCGACATGGATCAAGAACAGTGACCCCCTCGGACCCCAATGATGGACCCTCATGAACTCAACTGCCAACTTGTCAAGTGTGGGTGCTTGCTGAAGAACCGTGCCCCACGGACAGGATGAGAGTAACCGCGCGCTACACAAGGGTGCGCGAACCGATGAACACTTCCAGGTGAGACGGGGCATGCGTGCTGCCGCGAGCGGTCAACCAATGGCCAACTAGATGGACTGTTGCGGCACAGAGTTCTTCACGTAAAACAGACCCGGGGTTCGTAGCTTTCCGCTTCAAAGGAGATCTCAACACAAAACCATACGAACCGGTCGTTGGAGACATCTCTACACCTGGTTTAACGAGAGGGATAAAGAGAGGGGGGGGGGAGGGAGAGAGAGAGCGCGGCTGCTTGGCAAGCCCATCACAGGCCTTGCACATCAACAACGCGCTCTTTCGACCTTCGGGTGGAGGATGTATACATTTTGTGTTGGCGGTCTCGCCTTTGAGATAGTTGGGGTGCTCGTTGTGCTTGTTGACGTGCTCCGCCACGGAGTCCGACCTCACCAACAGCGTCGTCGGAATCTGCATCATCACGCGGGGCACCGCGCGCCCACAAGACACGGACGGGGGGGGGCAGAGGTCCATGGAGCACGGAGAGCGTGTGCGTGAAAAGTGGTGAAAAGGCCAGAGGGTGAGTGAAGCTACTTGCGCGCGTGTGGCGTGTGCGTGATTGTTTCCAACAGAGCACCCAACGCACTAAATAGTCGGGCTGACCCACGAAATATGTCAGCAACCGTCCGCAGCAACCGGAAATAATGCGACGAGACACTGTTTTCCTCCGTCCCCCGAGTTTAAAGCAACGGCAAACAATATAGACCGAATGGAACGTTGATGTACCAGGAGAAATGGGGAAAACGAGAGCGAGATACAGAGAAAGCAGACGCCTGCTGTGTATTGCCGCAACCTCAAATCTTGACAAGCCGCGAGTCGTTAATCTCGACACTCCACCAAGTGTCAAGCAGCCACTCAGGGTGCACTTCGCTCACTCAGAGAGTTCTCTTCCCTCTGTCATCGAGGTCAGCGCCTGTTACAGTGCCAGTTACAATGCGGTACGGCGGTGTTTCCTACTTGTACGTTGCCGTGTAACTGAGCTATTGCCCACCCCCGCCCCAGCTCTCGCCCTCCCCGGTGTTTGCTATCGGGATTGGGTTTTCGTCGCTTGGCAACGACGTCGTAAAACAAGCCAATTCACTTCGTGAACTCGGCAACCAGGTTACCGGTTTTCTTTTTACCTCCGTTTTTTTTTTTGGCGGTAACCATAATGGTGGTCGAGTGGATCATGTTGTGCGGGGTCGAGAACCCTCACTCCGCGCAAGGGAGATGATCGCACCACGTTGTGTTAAAATGGTCAAGCACCCTCGAGGCAGTTACACAGCGATTACAACTGTCTCTGGAAGTGAGAGCACCAGAAAATAAATTAACTCATACGCAGCTGTCATCCGTACGCAAGGAAGTAAGCACAAGATGCCGAA